TTATGCTCCAAGTAAATGAGACAAGGCCTTAAATTTATAAATATAATCATTATAATATTATAGAGAGATAAAAAAATTGAATATACAAGGCAAAGTGTGATCAATTATAATTCACCGTACACTGCAGTAAAATACTAAAATCATCCAAAACTCGAGATAAAATCCAGTGAAATAGATTAAAAATCGATTTCAGTGAACATCAGTTAAGATTCCACGAATTAGAACCCTGGATACTGTAACCTCTTCTAATCCGAGCTTTAACATTAAAAATATATCACATAAATATTCAAATAAAAAATATAACAAACAAATCATCTCCTGATTAACTAACTGTCATTATAATAACTTAACAAAATCTTGTCTTTCAGAAACTCAGACGTGACAATAACCTGTCTTATAATATATCATTATTCTATATACATAACAAACACAATCAGTAACAGAGATAATCTCTGGTAGGTTGTATCAGTAACAGAGATAATCTCTGGTAGGTTATATCAGTAACAGAGATAATCTCTGGTAGGTTATATCAGTAACAGAGATAATCTCTGGTAGGTTATATCAGTAACAGAGATAATCTCTGGTAGGTTATATCAGTAACAGAGATAATCTCTGGTAGGTTGTATCAGTAACAGAGATAATCTCTGGTAGGTTATATCAGTAACAGAGATAATCTCTGGTAGGTTATATCAGTAACAGAGATAATCTCTGGTAGGTTATATCAGTAACAGAGATAATCTCTGGTAGGTTGTATCAGTAACAGAGATAATCTCTGGTAGGTTGTATCAGTAACAGAGATAATCTCTGGTAGGTTGTATCAGTAACAGAGATAATCTCTGGTAGGTTATATCAGTAACAGAGATAATCTCTGGTAGGTTGTATCAGTAACAGAGATAATCTCTGGTAGGTTGTATCAGTAACAGAGATAATCTCTGGTAGGTTATATCAGTAACAGAGATAATCTCTGGTAGGTTATATCAGTAACAGAGATAATCTCTGGTAGGTTATATCAGTAACAGAGATAATCTCTGGTAGGTTGTATCAGTAACAGAGATAATCTCTGGTAGGTTGTATCAGTAACAGAGATAATCTCTGGTAGGTTATATCAGTAACAGAGATAATCTCTGGTAGGTTATATCAGTAACAGAGATAATCTCTATATGTAATATTATTATCTATGATTAAACACTATATTATATATTATGCTTTCAGATTGAGACAATGATTTTTACAGCAGTTTAACAGTCATGGACTAAACCCTTAATTCCAACCTTATGAATTCTTGTGGCACTCTCTCTCATTTTACCCCTTCACCTGTTTGCTATAATGACAGCAGGCAATGCCATAGGGAAATTTTTACCAGACAGCAACATTAGCTAACTTGTGTTGGATTTCCGACTGTCGAGGGATATCTAGCGTGAAGCAGCACCAGTTTTGAACAACAGAAGAAATGGAATACATAATATTGATTCACTTGATAATACAAGAGAAAGTATTGTAGATAATATAGAAGATCTAAATGACAATCTAGAAGAATGTAAATATTAATAGAAATAACTTGATAGAAATAAGTATAGGACAATATCAAGACAGAATTTGATTTAGAAAACACAAATAATAATGTTTAAGGCAACTAAATAAAGCAGTAAGAAATGGTTTTTGATTACAATAATATAAACAATCTACTAATTTTAATGGAATAACTTAAAGTGATTTATAAACATATTCTCAAAGTAACTCGGAATCAAAACATATTTTGATTATAAATACACAGCTAAGAAATGCTTCTTTCGATGGCCTTATTAATAATAATATTTTAAATTCTCAAAATGAAGAAAACAGAATAGATTTTGATTTTAGCGAATATAAATAATAATATTAGATTCTGTCTTAGAAAATATAACAAAAACAAAACACCTTTTAAAAATAATATCCTAACATAAAATTACAAGAATAGAATTTACCTTAAAATATAATACTGAAATACAAATTTGATTGGAAAAACTTAAATAACACGAATTTATCAAAAAATAATACTGAGACATAATGGAATTGATTTTGATTGGAACAATGTAATTAATTAATTAATTAATATGGCCATAAACATAATACTGATTGAACATCCAATACTGAATAGATATAATAAATACAATTAAAAAGCAGCTCCGAGAGACCAACGATGATCTGATTTTCTACGCCTCATTCTCATTATTTGACTGTCAACATCGACAGCAGAACCCTTAGATTTCAAATCATCTCGTAGTCGAATATTCGCTAGTTTCATCAGTCCGATATTTCTACTGGTAGCTGTTAGAGAATGGAGTAACGAATCTCCTCCCTGAAATTAACAAAGTTTTATAATTAGAAATTGTACGGAAAACTGAAGACAGTACTAGGACTAAACCTCCAGAAGGATTCTCCACCCCCACGGCCCCACTCCCCTGAAAATATCAAAATTTAGTATAAGAAATAATAAGGAAGTAAGTTAAAGGGCATGCTCCAGTTGCTGTACCAGTATGCAATGAGGAAAACTTGACCCCACAAAATCTGTATCTACCCAAATATAAAAATTATAAATTTCTACATTTCTATATATTATGCCTGAACAACTTTCACACGCTGACTGAGATTAAAACACATGGACATAACGAGCTGCCTCCTGACATAGAAATACTGATAACAGCCTACCTTAATAATCTCTTGAGCCTCTGGTAGCTGTGTACCAGGATGTCTCTGGAAGACCCGGACTAAAGGTCGATCTAGTCTTTCTCTAGTTGTTAAATCAGCACTCATTACTGGTCCCTGAAAATAAAAATCAAAACTTGGCTTAAATTTCAATCTATATTGCTATTGAAATATCAACACTTATAATAATAATAGACTCTTTATTTTACATGGGTTAGAATTAGGTCCAATACACCAAGGTGACATGGTCCTGTCTAACATTCAGTCCATGGAGACAAACATAGCCTCTTTATTTTATATGGTTTAGAATTAGGTCCAATACACCAAGGTGACATGGTCCTGTCTAACATTCAGTCCATGGAGACAAACATAGACAGTTTATTTTACATGGGTTAGAATTAGGTCCAATACACCAAGGTGACATGGTCCTGTCTAACATTCAGTCCATGGAGACAAACATAGCCTCTTTATTTTACATGGGTTAGAATTAGGTCCAATACACCAAGGTGACCATGGTCCTGTCTAACATTCAGTCCATGGAGACAAACATAGACAGTTTATTTTACATGGGTTAGAATTAGGTCCAATACACCAAGGTGACCATGGTCCTGTCTAACATTCAATCCATGGAGACAAACATAGCCTCTTTATTTTATATGGTTTTGGCAAAACATAGCTGTTGCATTCTGGGATATCTTTTTTATATTTCAGTAAATGTAATCTATAAAAATTCTGATAAAAACTTACGAGAGTATTTTCCATGGCTTTATTTGTAGCATCGTACCATCTCTGGGCTCGGTGTAACCCGTGACGATTTTCACCTAAACCTACCCCTAGATGATGCTGAAAAACAAAGATTCTTTTGGTTAAAAAAAACCTCAAGTTGGATGGATGAAACAGAATTTAAATGGCTAATGGGAATGATAAATTACAAAAAAAATCAAAATGGCAATAGAATAGCTCAGTCAGTTGCTAGTTGGATTGTCGTCTGTTTGAAAATTAGGTGCCATGGGTTCGAATCCTCCTCAGAGTAAGAAGATTCTAAAGCCACATCCAATACTTCAAAGAGTCTTGCTGCTGGGTTTCAACCCCTTCCACCAACATAGGAATTTATAATATTTTAGCATTAGCCACTAGGTATACATCATCTATACACTTTGAGAAATTATGTTTTTTTCAATTTTTTTTACCCTTAAATTCAGGTAGAACTCTGGACAAATAGTTTCACATAAAATACTAGCAATCATTAGACACACAAATATTCTCACCAAGTATGACTTGAGGTTATCCTAGCGCTATGATTATTTTGAGAAGAAATTTAAATATTTACCTTCAATGTAACTGTTTCTGCTATTTTCTGTGTGATTCCATCATTGACTGATCTATGAGCAGCTTTCTGTAATTTATCAGTTCTATCTATAGCATCTTTCAATTCACGACGAAGATAAGCCGAGCGTGTTCGAGCATCAGCAGCATCAGCTAGGGCGGAGTCAGCTTCCGGTGTATAGGGACCTAATGGATCAGCTTGACTAGCTCCTAATGACGTATTACCATCAAATCGTGAAATCCTTCCTTCCATCATACTTCTACTACGTTTTATTTTCATATCATCTCGAGAGTTGGTGATTGATGAATTAGCCAGACAGAGTAGATCTAATACTCTAGAACGTTCTTGTAGCGTGGCAAACAGCCTCTTTCTAGCTTGATCTAACACCTATAATATATAAATTCATAAATAACAACATGTTTCAGGTTCTCTTTTAATATTTCTATATCAGTCTACAATTGCAGTATTGAACACTATTTTAACAGTGAAAAGCTATATGCTATGTGTTCCTCAAGTAGCAGAGTATGATAATTATCACATTTAACATTTAGTTTTCTAAACTTTTATCTGCATTTTATGGGGACACTGATAGCATCAATTTACACCTTTCTTATATTCAGTTTTTACAATCCCTTTAAGCAACATTGAATTGTTTGTCACCAATCTGTACGTTATAAATTCAGTTTTGGAAAATTTGGGAACCATCATGAAATTTCAATAAAAATAAAAGGAAATTTACCTGTAGTTGTTGTTGGACAAGTTTCAGTTGAGCTTCCAGACCTTTTTTACAGTTTAATAAATGTGATCTCTCGGCATTCAGTAGATCATCAGCGCCATCCCGTTCCTGGAGAATAGATTGAAACTTTTATTAGTTTTACATTCATAGTGGTGACTAATCTAGTACCCTTCAATATTACTTCCTCTTCCCTCCCCCCTCCCCTTCTTTTACAACTAAATCCCAGCTATATGTCCCTGTATGTCTGATTTATGTTTTGTCATTGTGATACAAGTAAATCCAAGCTATATGGGCCTAGATTCTACCCTACTGGTCATATCTGGAAAATAGAGCCAAATAAATAGCCCCACCCCAGAGGCAACAAAGGATTTGTTTTGACAATGATCGAAACATTTCAATTCATGAAAATTCAGAAGATTTGTAGGTAAACTGGTAAAAAAATATCAATAATAAAATAACTACAAAGTGTTGAATTGTACTAAATAATGTAAGACATCTGTCAATCAATATTAATTACTGGGAGACCTGGGGGGAGGGGGAGGGGGGTTGAATTATTGATAGGAATACTAAATAACATTGATTTAATGTGAGAAGTGGTAGGGAGGGGACATTTATAATATCTGTTTTACTTTCTTATCAATGAGTAACTGCTAGAACTATAAAACTAGTAATTTTAGTAAGCAAATATAAAACAGCGATTTTGAAATAATTCTATAAAATAAGAAATGTTTAAAAAAAGGGAAAAATTTTTACAATTAAAAAAAAAAGGTAAAACTATATTATAAACTGAATCAACATTTGATATCTTGATGGGTTAATAATTCTGAAGTTTGTATTTGTAACAGGGGGTTAAGGTGTAGAAATTCCAACCAGGCAACAAAAAAAGTTTGTTTTACATGTAAGTTATTTAGCTGTTGTAAGTTATTTAGCTGTTGTAAGTTATTTAGCTGTTGTAAGTTATTTAGTTGTTGTAAGTTATTTAGTTGTTGTAAGTTATTTAGTTGTTGTAAGTTATTTAGTTGTTGTAAGTTATTTAGTTGTTGTAAGTTATTTAGTTGTTGTAAGCTATTTAGCTGTTGTAAGTTATTTAGTTGTTGTAAGTTATTTAGTTGTTGTAAGTTATTTAGCTGTTGTAAGTTATTTAGTTGTTGTAAGTTATTTAGTTGTTGTAAGTTATTTAGTTGTTGTAAGTTATTTAGCTGTTGTAAGCTATTTAGCTGTTGTAAGTTATTTAGTTGTTGTAAGTTATTTAGTTGTTGTAAGTTATTTAGCTGTTGTAAGTTATTTAGTTGTTGTAAGTTATTTAGTTGTTGTAAGTTATTTAGTTGTTGTAAGTTATTTAGCTGTTGTAAGCTATTTAGCTGTTGTAAGTTATTTAGTTGTTGTAAGTTATTTAGCTGTTGTAAGTTATTTAGTTGTTGTAAGTTATTTAGTTGTTGTAAGTTATTTAGTTGTTGTAAGTTATTTAGCTGTTGTAAGTTATTTAGTTGTTGTAAGTTATTTAGTTGTTGTAAGTTATTTAGTTGTTGTAAGTTATTTAGTTGTTGTAAGTTATTTAGCTGTTGTAAGCTATTTAGCTGTTGTAAGTTATTTAGTTGTTGTAAGTTATTTAGTTGTTGTAAGTTATTTAGCTGTTGTAAGTTATTTAGTTGTTGTAAGTTATTTAGTTGTTGTAAGTTATTTAGTTGTTGTAAGTTATTTAGCTGTTGTAAGCTATTTAGCTGTTGTAAGTTATTTAGTTGTTGTAAGTTATTTAGCTGTTGTAAGTTATTTAGTTGTTGTAAGTTATTTAGTTGTTGTAAGTTATTTAGTTGTTGTAAGTTATTTAGCTGTTGTAAGTTATTTAGTTGTTGTAAGTTATTTAGTTGTTGTAAGTTATTTAGTTGTTGTAAGTTATTTAGCTGTTGTAAGTTATTTAGCTGTTGTAAGTTATTTAGTTGTTGTAAGTTATTTAGTTGTTGTAAGTTATTTAGTTGTTGTAAGTTATTTAGTAAGTTATTTAGTTGTTGTAAGTTATTTAGCTGTTGTAAGTTATTTAGCTGTTGTAAGTTATTTAGTTGTTGTAAGTTATTTAGCTGTTGTAAGTTATTTAGCTGTTGTAAGTTATTTAGCTGTTGTAAGTTATTTAGTTGTTGTAAGTTATTTAGTTGTTGTAAGTTATTTAGCTGTTGTAAGTTATTTAGCTGTTGTAAGTTATTTAGCTGTTGTAAGTTATTTGGTTGTTTGTTAAGCCCTAAATGAATATTTTATAAACAATGTAGAACTAATTGACAGAGTGATATATTTTATTAATAATAAATCAATATACACCACTACTACTGTAATATGTAATATATTCTATAACATCGTAAAGGGATTTAATCCTGTAATAATTTCATTAAACATTTCAACAGGAAATAATTAGAGTTCCATTTATCTTTTGATTGTTTTTGATTGTTTCTAGAAAGACCTGTTCAGTATTTCAGATTGTTAAATATAACACAGGAACCATGGAGAAACTCAAACCTATTTTACATCTAATTTACAGATATATTTAAAACAAATTTTATTTATTCTTAAAAACCGCTATGGTTAACAATTTCTTATTTTTATTTTTCTATGTATCAATAGTAATTCTAGTAATATATATAGAAGATCAAGTTTGATTAAATCTTCACCAAGTTGTATCAATTGTAATATATAATAGAGCCTAAAATATAATTAGATTACTGTATCACTTTACTAGAGAGTTACCCCTGATTATTTCATTAATATTGTACTAGATAACATCCAAATTAATTAACAGACTTATTAATTAACAACATTGTATCACAAACTATCACTATATCTATTGATTAATATTCTACTGTATATCATAGACAGGTTAGATTGTTTATAACAAACTTAACAATATCTCATACAGGGCATCATGTCAGAAACTCTCTCAATAAACTAACAAACAATCCAATACACTTAAATCTAACATAAACCCGAGTTGAAACAAGAAAAATAAAATATAGTGTATTATTAATTAAAAAAAGTATTGATCTATATTATTAATTTCATGAGAAAAATAAATGTACATTATAATTCATGTTTTAGTCAAATTCATTCATTTAGTTTATAAAATCTAATTTAAACGCAAATCAGGTTCTTACGTTTTCTTTTAATATCACTCGAGTTGCAAAAAAAACCTCAAAAATACAACGTAGAGAAGAAATCAGGCTATTTACTGATCTACAACATTTTAACAATCATTCATATTAACTACAATCTATCACATAAATATAAATTGTTTGAATGTATAGGGGGTGGGGAGTGGGGTTTGGGGGGTACAGTGACGTATAAATTTGTAATTATACTATAGAATATTTTAGTGATACAGTTATAATTACAAGTGATGATGATATTTTAGGGGTGTTAGGTGACAATAGAATGGACAATTTTAACCACAATTAAAAAGGGATGGTGTATAGGGACATAAAATATTATTTAAAATATAACTAGACTAAGGAAGCTGAGAATAAAAATATTCAGCAATTATTTGATTTGATTATTTTACCTTCAAACCTACTTGGTTTCAGAATGAACAGTTTTAGGCTAGAAAAATACAAAATTATCCATGAAAATCATTTATAATCATTTAGGACTAAGGTTAGGTATGGTATTTGTCTAAACCTTTTCTGTCCCATATAACAGAGATCAATTTTAATAGCTACTGTTAACTGTATTACTTTTCACTGTGACAATCTGGCATTTGGTTAGTTTGCAATAAAAGAAACACCGTCCCACTTAAAAGACAAAAGTCTCAATGTACAGGTCATTTCTAAATTATAAATATTTTAACAACGTGTTTGTCCCTTATGATTTCTTCTTAAATAATGCAACTCTCCTGGCGCAAATTTCCATCATTGCACACTGCATGGCATTGCCCTTCTTCATTAGCCTAACTAGATGCAGAAAAGCAGGACATATACGTCCATTCATTTAATTTCTGATGATCTTTTCTCAAAGTCAGAAGTTATTTCAGGGTTTGTCCTCAGTAAGCCTAATCTATTTATCATACCAGCAGGTATTCAGTTGAATACAACCAGACAAAATTCAATTTTAAAACTCATTTATTATGAATGACTATCAGTATAATTTGAGTAGTTCTATTTATAGATTATATTTGTAGTTAAGTTGATCATTAACTTTCAATCATCAGCCAGTCACTGAGTCTCGTAAAATATAATATTATTAAGATCAACTGAGTTCAAATAAACTGATACAGTCTCTCTAGGTCTATAGGTTTTTGACACTAGGCTGAAATACTTGTCAAATATGTTTGAAATTCAAGATCAGCTTGTTTATTATCTAACAAGATTGGTCTCCAATCATGAATGATTTTCAGAAGAATAAAATCAATGTTAAAATTTGTAAAATGATCCTCATTGAACTTTATATCATATACCTACTTTAATTGATTTTTAAATATTAAAAAAAAACAGTATTAATGAAGAGTTACCTACCCTTTCACGGCTTGGTCTAGAAATTCTAATTTCTTGACTGTTTTTATTGAGTTGAATATCTTTTCGAATGTGTTCCAAAGCTTTTTCTAGAGATTCTTTCCCACGAGTTAAAGATTTAATTTCTTCGTTTGTTTCTAACAGACTTTCTCGTAATTTAGAAACAACAACTCGAACATCTCTAGAATATCGTCGAATTTCTTCATTACTCAACTGAGCCACTGTATCTCTCAAATGTGGTAATGGATCTAAAGCTCGACCAATGTCATTTCCTTTATCACTTTTCTGTACCAGCGATTGTGATAATTTCAATGTTTTCAATGTAGAATTTCTCCACGCTTCTGCTCCAATGGATGTGGCTGGTTTAGTTGTCAACATTTTGTAGATTGTTCTTCAAGTATTCGATTCAATAAAGAAATTTAAACATCTGCCAATGAAAGAGAAAGTTTAAATGACAAATAAGTAGAGTGTTTTTCTTGTTTAATCGCCCGTAGCGTCGTCCAGATCAACGTTGCCTAGGACAACAACAAGCTTGTTTCATTTCCGGTAGCCGAGCACTAAATATCGATTATAGAAAATAGTGATTTTTTTTTAAAAATTAAAATGATTATAAATTTGAAAGTGTAGATTTTAAACTAAATGTTTTAAAACTTTTAATTCGTTCATTCAAAACTTTTCATTCAATATTTTTAATGGGCGGGGTCAGATTGTGACTCAGTGCTGCTCCGCAGATAGTAAAAGGTCAAAGTTTAAGGTATAATTTTGTGTTCATTTGAATTTTTTTGAAAAAAGCGGGTTATATTTGAATTGTCATCCATTGAAACATTGTTTTTGTGAAATTTTTGACTATTTTAGACATTTTTCAGTGACTGTCAAACGACAGAAGTAAAATTGTAAGGGAATTAAAGAGCAGACGACCTTCACCTTGATTAGTAATAACTCGCACCGACTTGACTGACGTCATGATTAACTGTGAATCGAGTGACAAGGAAGGGACGGTATCCCGGAAAATATAACACTTTTTATTCATCAAATGACTGGTAATTAGTGAACAGTTAATTGTATTTATGACAGCAATAATCAACATGGCTTCTGTCTCACCGTGGAATTCTAAAATTCCGGGAAATCGTCGCCTTTCCGACGATAAGGACAGTGTTGTAATGTCGTCGTCGTGGAGTCGATCAGTAGGAGAGAAATCGAGTGATGGACTATCAGTGAATAGTAATATAAACATTGACAGTTCAAATAGTCAGGATTTTAATAATAGTAATAAAAATATAGTAAATCATCGTAATTTCAATGGAAATAGTGAAACAGACGCAGTGGATAAACACAATCTTGTGTCCATTACTGAAAACCCTTTCTTTAAATCGTATGGGAAAATTCGAGCACCTCATACTCGTAATGAATATCGAGCTGAAAGAGAGCGAAATCATACTGATAGCTCTCCGTTATCGCCGAAAGTTTTCAGCGACAATATTTCAACGTCGAATTCTCTTCAACAAGAAGATGAAGAAGAGGTGGAATATCATCCAGGTTCCGGGTTCGTGACAAAATTATTAGGAAAGTTTAAAATGAAATACGAAAAGGAAGAACGTGCCTATTCTCAACCAGTGCCAATTAAACGATCTTCGAGTTTAGAAAATATTCTGGACAATCAGCCAGTAGCGTCTTCGGTAAAACTGATGAGAAGTGTAAAAAATGACCATGTTTCGTCTGTGATAGGACAGAGTAATCTTAATTACCGGACAAAAAGTGTGGAACATATAAACTCTACAAATAAACCAGTGCCTGGAAAACGAGCGCCAGACGTCAAACTAGCTAGGAAAGATATCGTAATTATAGAATCTTCAAAATCAGGGAAAGTTTCTCCCACGCCAACTCAACCTACTAACCATATTCGTTCTGGAAGTGTATCTCCAACAATTTCAACTACAACATTACGAGATGAAACCCCTGAAGTTGACGAACTTCCTAAACCAAACACAGTCACGAACACTAGACATTTATTTGAATCTACTCCTCGTAGTGGGTCAAAAAGTCGTGCAGCGCCCGCTCCTCCGCGGCCATCTAGCTCAGCTGGTACCAGAATTTCAACAGTTGCACCAACTAAAAATATTTCAGCTCCCATCACCACCTCAGCACATTCAAACAAACCAAATCATTCTCAAAAACCAAAAGATGTCGTCAGCACCAAATCAACAACAGACGCACCGTTGCCAAGAAGTACCTTACCACCCGTTACCAACAGAAATAAAAAACCCAGTCCAGTTGTTACTGTGGCACCTTATAAACCAAAATCAGATGAGAATTATTCCACAACAACTTCTGCTACCATTCCGTTACCTCAGAAACCATTGACAACACCTCGAAATGGGGACATGTCTACTGACAAGAAACCATTACAACCCACAACCAACCAAAATTTCATCTCAACGCCTAGGGATATCAAGGACGAAAAAGTTCATCAAGAAACAAAATCGGAAAAAATCATAGAAAAGCCAGATATAAAATCGGAAGTGAAAACTCAAAAAGACTCAGTGAAAATCTCGGAAGAGATCATTCTGAAAAAATCAGAGGACAAAATTGTTACGAAGAATCAAATTAAAAATACAAATATTTCTGAAATGAAAGTTATTGAGGACAAAGTTGATAAAAGTGACTCTCAATCTGAACCTGTTAAAGGTATTCCTACCATTATTGCTCAACGAATGAAAAAGGAAACGAGTCCAGATTCCGTTGTAACCAATGGCAGCCAAGTTTCTAGTCAGTCCTCAAAATCAGAACTTTACAACTCAGGTTCTAATGATATTTCCTCGAAAAAACGTCAAGCTCCTGCCATCCCTAAATCTGGTGTTATAACTATGGAAACTAAAAAAGAAGTTCCTGAAAAGGAAGAAATATCCCCAAGACAAAATTTACATCACGCTCAAAAGAAGAGTCAAGATATTGGGGGTCCAGCTATGGTTTTTGATAGCAGTATGGTAGCTAAGAAGAAACGCAAGCCCAATTATTCCACCACTACGAATAATGTGGGCGTTCCTAAACTGGATTTAACTGGAATAAACGATAATGTTGGTCGTCATGGTTATCAAGAAGGATATAAACCAACAGAAATTAAGCCGTGTAAAATTATATTTATTGGTGCACTGGTAGATTTGGGAAGATCTTTACTGAAGAAGGATGGACAATCTTCTACTAAGGTAGGTCCTAATCTTATCCCAGATTTTATTGGGACCTGGGATTCTCGAAACCTTAACTTCTGATGATTTTAGTTTTGCAATCATCTGATTGGTCAGTCACTAAAATTTATTTTGAATTTTATTTTATTATCCAATCAGATTACTGTATTTATTAAAATCTGAATTTTATTTAAATTTTGAGAATAAGGTCCGAGGGTTGCATATTGAGCTACTTCTTTGATAACTCTGGTGTCCAGAATTTGATCAGGGTTTGATTCTGGGTGGGGAATTCCCTGTCATTTATAACTTAGACAAGAGGTATGATGATGTTCAACTAAGACTGTGTATTAAAGATATTTAGACTGTTGAAACTGTAAAAGATATAGCTGGTGGTGTGAGATACCAGGGCAAGAAGACCTTATCAACATACATTTTATCATGGGTTTTTTTTTATAAAAAAATGTATAGGAACAGGTGAAAAATGAAACATCAGGCTCCACACTCATTCATCTTTCTTAAGCTCACGCAAACTTCTGACAAGGATAGGCTGTTTCAAAATTACAAATTTCAATGTAAAAATTCATTTTATAAATTTGATATTTTCTATAATTTTAGACACTCTAACCATTGTTAAAATAGAATAAAATAAGTGAAATAATAATATTTACTGTAAGATGGGTGTTTTAGAGTGAATAGGTACACTCAAGTTAATAAAAGGGGGAAAGAAAAATAGATTTTGAACCCAGCCTATCCCCATTAAAATACATTACATTAAATTTATAAATATCTTAACATATTATATCACCAGTCCTTGTCCACTAGTAGTTTATTAGGGTTGTTTACATTAAAAAAAATAATCTGTATGATTAATTAGTACAAATATATTAACGACATGTTAAAATTATCAGGTAACTAACGAAGTTGTTACACCTGTCTGCAGCCTGGTGGCTATAACACTCTTACTATTAATAACTTAAGACATGTTTCCTCTCCTTGCTGATTAGTGTAATGATGGATTAACTGTGGCTCTTTTTGGCAGTTTTGAGCCATAAATTAAAAAATAAACTGAATATAGGGGATAATTACTCAAACTTTTAATAACTTGAACCATGTTTCCTGATTGGATTAATGATGAAATGATTGAAAGTAATGGTTTTTTGGAAGTTTTGAGCCGTAAATTTATAAAACTCATTGAAGGGATTGTCAAAAATGATTAAAACTATTACCGTAATAAACCTATGACATGCTCACCCACCTTGTTAAAGGTGTAATGGATTGTTGATGGATTAAATTTATTATTTCCTATTTGTAATGTGTCTTGTGTATTTTGAGCAGCTATTACAGGTGTGACGCCAGGCAGGATATGCCTACTCTTCTAGACACCTGATACCACTTTTCATTGATACTTCCTCCTAAAATGAAAAGTTCATTAGCTGCTACCAATGTTTTGTCAAAATGTTGTATTGGATTTTGGGTTTTCGTTGGGTTGTTGGTACTTGGTTTATTTATCTATATCTATAAAACCACTGGTTGAGGTCACAAAGCTGGAATGATATTTCTATGAGCTATAAGTTATAGTTTAATAGTTAATATTTAAAATAAAGACAGTATTTATTATCTGGTTGTACTGACTCATAGCTACAATTAATATACACAAAACTTAGTACTTCAGTTACACCTGTAATTAGGTAATTTACCTGTTATTTTACCTGTAAATTACATGTCAAGATAGACTGACAGAGATCATGGCAACCCAGTGTGTATAGTTAGTTATATAGACATACCTTCAGGTAGAATATAACAGGTATATTGATATTAGTCTGTATAATATAAGCCCCAGACTAGTCTAACTTTAATTACAACTTTAACCTGTACAATTATAATTTAATTGTTGTTTAATGGCGCTCAGGGTTTGAAAGAGAGCTATCTGTATCACCAAGCAATTACTATTTTATTATATAGTTACTACCCAGAGAAGAATTTTAGACTACAAAGAGCTTGTAATTGAAACATCTCATCTTTTATCTGATCCTTACAAAACTTGACTGTTTATGATCCCTAATACCTATTGAGTATTTTAGTGTTAATTAATTATTGCTAGAAGAG